GGATTGTATTTTTTTTTTTTTTTTTTTTTTTTTTTTTTTTTTTTTTTTTTTTTTTTGTTGTTGTTGTTATATTAAAGGTTTGAGATGTTGAAGAGTGCATTTTTTTTGGACATGTATAACTGTCCTGAACCAACGGGTTAGGTTTATGTACTAATTAAGCATAAAGTTTACCCGTATTCATTCAACTTTGAGTTTGTAACACAAAAATCATAGTTTTATTTTTGTCACATAAAAGTCATTTAACTTTGGCCAAGTTAACTAAAATGTAAAGATCACCTGAATTTTTATATTTTATACCGAAAATATGACATGATACTTCAAGATAGCTATTTAGCTTAATGACATGATACTGCTAATTTAAAAAGGTATTTTTGTAAAATTCAATAAACAAATGAGTATAAATGAATAATGGCAAATTAGTCAAATTATATTTTTTACATTAATGATGATTGGTTAACAAAATTATTACAAAGTGATCAAAAATAAGAAAAATAAACATAATATTCGTAAAATTACAACTGAGATTAGCGAAACTTGGAGGGAGGTATCTCAAATTATTCCAAATGTAACTAACTTATTTTGGAGTGTTATATCGTATTTTCAGTATGAAATATAAAATTTAGGTTATATTTACTTTTTAGTTATTTTGGCCAAAGTTGAATGACTTTTTAGTTTTTAGTTATTTTAGCCAAAGTTGAATGACTTTTTAGTTATTTTGGCCAAAGTTGAATGACTTTTTAGTTTTTAGTTATTTTAGCCAAAGTTGAATGACTTTTTAGTTATTTTGGCCAAAGTTGAATGATTTTTATGTGACAAAAAATAAAAAAGTGACTTTTATGTTATAAGCTTAAAGTTAAATGATTTTATGTGACAAAAATAAAATAAAATAAGTGACTTTTGTGTTATAAACTCAAAGTTAAATGATTACCGATAAAATAAAGCTTCAATTATAAGAAGCTCACTAAGTGTACTCTCAACCAGAGGCAGAATTAGTATTTCAAATTTATGGGTGCATGATCTTAATAATTTTAAGTTATTATGTTTTAAATTAATAATTTATACTATATATTTAAAAAATTTAAGACAAACAAACCCACACCTGACACTGTGCCTATGCTCTCAACCCCACTTCATATCTTACATTGATTTTTGGGAACTTTTTGGCATATATGTTGTTCTAAAATCAATGTATTATTATTGTCACTAATGATGTCCTATTCCCNGCGTAAGCAAGCAACCTAACCCCAATATCTAATATCACTTATATAATTCGAAATATTTAAAACAAAGAAGGGCAAATACGGCAAAATACTACCTTCACTGATTTCAAAGACTTCTTGCGTAACTAACAAGGGTTGTGGTGGAGTGATAAGTACTCGTTCATACTTAACTAGAGGTCTCGGGTTCGAGCCCCTCGGTATGGAGTCACATTTGTTAGGGAATGCTTTACCCCTAATGTGGGACTTTCCGGCGCGAATTCGAATTTAGTCGGGCGCCAATATGAATATCAAACACCGGGTGAAAAACAAAAAAAAAAAGACTTCTTGCGCCATTCAAACATATATCTTTCCACGAATTAAAGAACATAATCATTTTTACTTCCAAATCTAACCCTTAACTTTACTTATATTTATCGTTTATTAATAATACCCAACCCCTACCAGTAAAAGTCAAAACTTTTGGAATTAGCCGCCTTATTTTTCAATTATGAAAAATTATCATTAAAATTTTATTTGTTCAAATTTTGATATTATTTGATACATGTGCTAATTAAAGGGTGCGTAAGGTAATTTGGACACATCATATAAAGATGAACACTAATTAGTGTAAATTTGTGGCCATAACTTTATTTTCTATGTGTTAATTTACTTACTATGAATAATTATCCCTAATATTTTATTTATTCAAATATTGATGTTATTTGGTGCATGTGCCAATGGAAGGTAGTAGATAACTAAATATCCGATTAATTAAGGTGTATACAAGATGATTCAGACATCGCTATTATAAATATAAAGACTAATTACTGTAGTTTTTGTGGCCATAACCTTATTTTCTATGTACTAATACTCTTATTATGAACAATTATCACTAATATTTCATCTGTATAAATTAGGTGGAGAGGATTAGTTGATACTGAAAGGTACCAGATACTCCGTGAAATAATTAAATTATGTGCAAGCTGATCCGGATATTATCGTTAACAAAAAAGACTAATTGGTGTTAAGATTAACATAGTGTATAGAAGTTAATTAGAATAGAAAATAATTTTTACTAATTAAGTTCAAAGGTTTTTTCCATTTCTTTTCTCCACGAATCAGAGAACATAAACTTTTTTTACTACCAATTTTACCCTTTAACTTGACTTATAATTATCATTAATTAATACTCAATCCACCTGTTCCACCAGTTAACAGCTGATAGCTTCACTTGGCCGGCGGAAGCCACGTGGCAAACACCCACTTGTTCCACGTAAACATTAAAAAAAATCCAATTTTTAAATCAAGAAACTGACACTATAGTACTAAACAAAAAAGTTATGGCCACCTCAGTTAGAACCCACATGCTCATTTCTCACCACCACCGTCACCACCACTTCCACCACCGTCTCCGGCCGCCATGCAAAGTGGAGCTGCCGGCGAAGAGTCAAACTCTGGTCTTCATCAAATCTTGGTTGAAAAATTCTTCTCACTGGAATCAAGTTATAGGAAACTTGTGGAACAATTCAATTTGTTATATCAAGAAAAAAATAAGAAAAGTATTGTAAATATGGATTCAGATGAAAAATTAACAGATTTTTCAGGTGAAATGGAGTTATATTCTGGAGTTTTCTTTAGTGGGAGTCCGTACAAGAACGTGTTGAATTGCATGGGTCATGCAGTTCACGTTAATAGAGCTGATACTGGAGAAATTATTTACTGGTAAGTAATTAACAAGTAATTTACTTTTAAATCTGATCAGTTAATTGCACTAATTCTAATTAGTGATGTTTGTTTTGAGCTGGGATTGTTGATATTTGAAGCTATGCTTTGGTAAAATGAAGTTGACTTAGATGTGGATTTACTTTAAATTTTGTTTTAGGGTAACCAGTGGCGGAGCTAGGAATTTATACGTAGGAAATTTAAAGAAGTCTAGAATATCAGAATTGGAATTTGATCCTATGACCTACAGCCTCTCTGCCCCATCGGGTAGGGGGTAAGGTCAGCGTACACACTACTCTTCCCAAACACCACTTGTGGGATTTTACTAGGTCGTTGTTGTTGTTGAATTTGATCCTATGACCTACAGTGACTTTTGAATCCACTTACCACTATGCTAGGATTTCTCTTCATGTCAAAGGACAGTGGTGAATCCGAGAATTTTTTCAAAGGTGTTCAAATTTGAAATAAGTAAAAAAATTTTCCGATAAAGGGTGTTCAATATATGTTATGTAACTTTAAAACCTAATATTTTACCTATATATGCGGTGTAATTTTCCGACGAAGAGTGATCAATTGACCACCCTTAGCCCTTATCAACTGTAGCTTCGCCCCTCTGTCAAGGGAATATATTTGATTAAGCAAGTATAAAAATTTAACTATAAATCTGATCATTTCATTAACACTATTTCTAATGGGTGATGTTTGTTTTGAATTGGGGTTGTTGATATTTGAATTTATGCTTTGATAGAATGAATTTGACTTTGAGGTAGATTTACTTTGAAAATTGGTTCTTTAACTCTTGTTAAGGCCATCTAGTTATCAAGTCAAGTCAGTATCTTTTATTGTAAAGGAACGGATTTTCTGTATTTAATTTAACTGACCCCAACTAGTTTGGGATTGAGGAGTAGATGATTGATTTAGGCCCGCTTTTGATTATATATAGTTTACTCTTTCACATTTATCATCTACTCTCTAACCGAGGTCTATCGGAAACAAACTCTCTGCCCTCCCAGCTCTCCCAGGATAGAGGTAACATCTCCGTAGACCCCACTTGCGAGAACTCACTGGGTTTGTTGTTGTTGTACTCTTTCACATTTAGCACTTTAGCTAAAGACTAGTTCGAGTTAAGGTTAGGTTGCTGTTACACTTACATTAGGTCTAAAATGTATTTAAGTGTGGGATTTTAAGAATACTACTTTGCTTTAAGAGACAAATTTAAAATGATAGTGGAACAGAATGGGCCCTAGTATCGGAATATATAGAGGATTCATTTCATCAACCAGAACTAGTTTGAGACTGAGGCATAGTTGATTGATTTGTTGACTCCGGCCAAATATTAAGATTAGGAATTAAATCAAACAGATCTCTGCTAATGTTGTCTGTTAGTCCTAAAGTTCAAATTCTGCACTTTGGTTTAACTCACTTTGTCACAGAGGAATTGTCCGACTTTTTTAAAGGGGATTTAAGGGGAGGAAGTATGCTGAGTGGGATGGATAGGCAGAGCGAGAAACAGTTTCGTTTATGAAAATATTTTTCCATAGGCTTGATGTTAAATCCCCTTCATATCTTGGCGCTCTTGTCTGTTGTGAGGTAGTATATTATACAAGGAAATTCTTCTCGTGCAGGAATCGATTTGCTGAAAGACTTTACGGTTATAAAGATCATGAAATACTTGGACAAAGGTCCACTGAACTGCTTATCTGTGAAGAATATCATGAACTGGCTAGGATTTTCATGGAAAAGTTGAGCTGTGGAGAATCATGGTCAGGTCTCTTTCCTTTTAAGAAGAGGTCCGGTCAGATCTTTATGGCAATGGTGACGAAAAGCCCATTGTACGAGGATGGTGAGCTTTTTGGTGTTATCACTGTTTCGAATGACACGGCTTCATTTATTAATGTAAACCCAAGGAACGCTAGCATCCATGAGGATAATAGTCAACCTGACGCACGAGGAATAAATTTCAAAAGGATTCAATGGCAGCCAAGGCCACAAATTGCATCGTCTGTTTCAAATCTGGTGCTTATTATCATGTTATCATTGTCCTTCATAAATATTTTGGTCTAACTTTTTGAATAACTATTCTTTTTTTTTTCCTGATTTTTCAGGCCTCGAAAGTTTTCTCACTGAAGCGTGGAGAGGATACGTGCAACACATCTGGAGATGCAAGGGACAGAGATCAGGTGGATTTAGATGCCAAAGAAGGGAAACCGCTGAAGCCGCCCAGAGCACCTGTAAGTTTGAAAGTAGATGGTTTGATTGCTCCTAATTGATTGAACGGGCATTTTATGAGGTAAGATTATCATTTCAGGCGGCACGGCTGAGTTTCAATTTGCTTGGCGGGAAGAATAAAGCTAATGCAGAGAGCTCTGAGAAGGATGAGTCTACATTTGACATTGCTCAGCCTTCCAAAATCGTAAAGTTCCCATTTCTTTAAATTTCTGGAGTAATGTCCATCTCTTCCTTCTTGGCTTTATCTTCTAGGCTTTAATTTCTTTGAAAAGATTTGATGGCAATTACCTTCAAAGTCTTGTTGCGGCTGATTTGTGCTAATAACATATCTGTTAGGGTTTACTATAGTCATGGACTGATCTAGATGAAATTCGAGAACCGGTCATCAAACTTTTGTAACAAGTTGAGTAATTCCTGTGCGCTCTGCAACATGATAAGATCAGTGATAACTGAAACCAAAAGAACGGAATACGAGGGGGGGGGGTTACTATATTACAGCCTTTTTTCAGAGAGGGGATGAATGTAAGAATCAAAAGGAAAAGGGTTTTCGTGGTACGAGAGAGGAATACGAGTGCTCTCAGAGATCACAACTAAGTAAGACTTAAGAGGAATTAGAAGCTAAAGACAAAAATGTAGGCGTCTTGTGCTGAATGAATAAAAGAACGAAGGTCCCAATGAAAGTTTTTGATAATTTTATGTGTTATATGATTAAAGCTGGATGTTATTTCTAATGACCGGTTTGCAATTGTAGGCAGCAAAGGTTATGTCAAAGCTGAACATTGCAGGATTTGGGCACCTTGGTAAAGAGAAGGGTCAACACAATGGGGATGACAATACTCGTGTTAGAGAGGATGTAGCTGAACCATATCCGCCCACAGCTTCAGACGCTAAATCAAATTGTTGTCACTTTGGTGATGAACATATTTACCTCCAGAAAAACCAGAAAAGAACTTGTTTTGATCCGGGACCAACGTGTGCCCCTACAACGGGGCAAGATGTTGTAGAGGGTCCAAGTGGAACCTTCTCAAGGAACTCCAAGGAATGTCCCGAGGCATCTAAAATTCCTGAGCAGTATCCGGGATCATGTATGAATGATGAAGAGCTTAAGCCACAGCTCAGAAAATCAAATCTCTCAGCGGTGGAAGATTCATCGCAGCAGCTTTTAGAATGCCAGCAATCACCAAAGTCAGGGGGGAGCGTTGATAGCCGTGGAAGTTCATCAAACATAACTGAGAATGAGTTAAGCTTGATGGTAGATTGTGAAATCTTATGGGAAGATATCATCCTAAAGGAGGAAATTGGACGAGGTAAAGTAGAGTAATCTCACCATCATTTACATATGTTTTTTTTTTGGGAGCTAATGTGCCATTGGACAAATATGTTTTTCAACAAGTAGCTCCTTTCTTGAACTTTCGTACACTTGTCCACTCATTGAGTCATTGTATAAATTTTAAGCATAACTTTGCAATGAGGGCAGAAATCATTGCCTGAATTTGGTACAATGGAAACTCTTTGCGTAAATTATCATCGTGTAACGCCGAGCATTTGTTATTATTTTTTCTTTAGGTTCATATGGTGTTGTATATCATGGAATCTGGAATGGATCGGTACGTCTCTAGCTCAAAATTTTTCGTTTATGTTCTGAAGGTTAGTGGAATAGTATTTCAATATTGGAAGTATATAAATTCTTAATTCTCTCAAAATTATCTTTAGGATGTTGCTGTTAAGGTTTATTTCGGGAATCAATGCTGCGATGAAACATTGCTCGACTACAAAAAGGAGGTATGTGATACCTGTTGCGGAAGCCAAATGTATATAGTGTGAATAAGTCACAACTACTATACCAAAAATTAT